TTTTTTGAAAGGTCCTTGGGAGAAGCTGCAGAATCTTTCTTTCCTTGCTGACTTCATTGATGGTGTACAGGAACCAATCTTCTTTATAGACTTTTGGGGTCAGTTTGGCTTTTGATAGGGCCTCCTCCATTGTCCTGTCATCAGAAAGTTCCTCCGAAGAGTCCTCAGGGTAGACTGTGTCATCATTTAGATGTCTCCTCAGCAAATTTGTTATCCAGGAACAAATAAAATTTTTCTCTTGAGCCACTGTGTTAATAGATGAGGTCTCCTCATCTGTCCTGTTACTTGGCAGCTCATCATCCACCAGGTCCTGGGGAGCATCAATTGATTGGTTTGTCATATACACCCTGTTCTGTGGCCATGTGCAGACTACTGTGACCTACTTCTTAGATCGGACAGCAAACCTTCTTGACCTCTGAGGAAGAATTCTTACATTCCAAGATATTTTTAGTTGCTCCACGTTATTAGGTATTTTATGAGCTCAAGATCAGTAGTTCCAAGCAAGGTGAGTCCATATTTTTACACTCAAGTAAAGGCTTCAGCTGAATATATACTACACTGATATAAAATACTGTTAAGGGCAAATAAAAATAATTTGGCCATGATCTTGGTGCTCTCACACAAAGTGATGCCCTGCTCCTAGGAGAGCTGCAGTGCTATGGCCAGGCCTGAGGCAAGGACACTGGCTTACACCTCACAGACAGTTATGGTGGCTCACAACAGTCTTTAGTGTTTCCTATTCTTTTTCTTAACCAGTAAGTCTGGCCAAACAAATGGAGAGCTTCATATTTCAACTTTTCACACATACACTACTAAAATTGGATTTTTTTGGACTTACTCTCAGGTATAGGCAGATCCTGATGCACTATACTTTATGAAAATAAGTCTGTACATTTTTTGAGCACACAGAGTTATGAGACATTTTTAAAAACAGCTTAAAAATTTCTGTAGACAACACCATAAATAACCCACACAGTAATTCAACAAGCATTTATTAAATGCCTACTATGTGCTCAGCACTGTACTAGGCACTCGGGGGTGCAGAAGTACAAATGTAAAAGTTATTATTCCTGCCCTCAAGGAGCTTACAATGTAATTTTGGAAATAAATACAATTGTGAAACTACAATACAGAGTGCTAGAAAATAATTACAAAGCAACATATTAGTAAGTGCATGGACTACAGTACAAACTCAAAAGATAAATACTGAGGCAGCACAGAATGAGGGAGGTCTCAGTGTGAGGTGAAGTCAATCAGGGAGAGCTCAGTCAGAAGTTAGGCTTTGAAGGGAGTGATGAGCATGAGCTGGGACCAAAGAGCAATCTAAGTAAAAATAATACCGTGAGAAAGGCACATAGGCAAGAGCTTGTAAGACAACAATAGAAGGCTGTAGGAAGTTTGAATGCAATAAATCAAGGTGAATATGCTAGGGAGTAATGAAGGCTGAGGCAGATTAAGCATGGGGAGCAAAGTAATAGAGAACAGGGAACATTACTGCTCTGATAGGACTATCTGCTGGATGTTACGGAGTGAAAATAAGACATTGTAAAAATGGAATTTGAGGAAGATCACCTTGGAAACTTTATACAAGATGGGGATCCTGAGAGCAAGGAAACTGGAAAAAAGAATTACAGTAACCTAGGCCTTATATGATACAGATGTACATGAAAAGCTATAATGGGATGACAGACATGAGAAATCAATCTTCAAGGAGAAGATTAAGAACTAGATTGACAGCAAGATTTTGGACATGGAAAGTAGAGAGCAGAAAAAGATGAAAAGATAACTCTAAGGTTGAGATAAAAAATGTTCAGGACAAAATGGTTAAGATATATATATTTTTAAAAGGAGTTAGGAGAATACATGATGAGTTCTGTTTTAAGTTGTTTAGGTACCTCTGGGAAATTCCACAAGTCATAAGATGACCCACAGGGTAAGAAATATGAAGTCACTCAAATACAGAAAGTAAGTATAAACAATCAGAATAAATAAGAGCATAGAAAAATTAGTGACTAAAAATAAGACATGGGTATCAGCCGGGGTCGGTGGCTCAGCCTGTAATCCTGCACCTTGGGAGGTTGAGGTGAATGGAATGCCTGAGCCCGCTGGTTCAAGACCCGCCTGGGCAACTTGGCGAGACCTCATCTCTACAATAATTCAAAAAATTAGCCGGGCGTGGTAGCGTGTGCCTGTAGTTCCAGCTACTTGGAAGGCTGAGGTGGAAGGATCGCCGGAGCCCAGCAGGTCAAGGCTGCGGTGGCCAGGAGTGGCCACTGCACTCCAATCTGGGCGACAGAGTGAGACTCCAACTCAAAAACAAACAAACAAACAAACAAACAACAACAACAAAAAGACATGGGTATCATTCTCAGTGGAAGTTGGGAGATGGGGAAGACCAATAAAGAAAAGTCAGATATTGGAGAAAAATGACCTAACAGGATACCATAAGCCAAAGGGGAAGAAAATTTCCATGGTGCTGTGAGAATTCAACAATAGGAAATATGAGATCAAGAAGGACAAGAAATTTTAAAAAAGGCCTTAATATTTAACCAGTGATTATTCTAAGCACATTTTACTACGATGCTGATTATGAGAGCCAATAAGGAAAAGTTTTAGAAATAGATCAATGAGAAAATGGAGTTGAAAAACATGATGATATGTTCAGAAATAACAGAGGAGAAATAGAATGGTAGTTTGAAATGGGCAATGAGGTTGAAAGTTTTTCACATTTTATGCTGTAGATGAGCTTACTCTTGTCACCCTAACTGCCCATTGGCCTGGTACATGGATATTTCATTTCCCTCCATAATTCTACTTTCCTGTAGGCAGTTTAGAGAGAATTTGTATTTGAATCTGTTTGTTATTATTATTTTACTCTCTCAGTTACTCTTTTAAATGTTTTATTTGCACAATTTAGTTTTCTAGTACCACAAAGCATCAATATTTAATTATAACCCAAAATAGCATTTTCAATCAATTTTCCAGTAATTATAATAGGTTTGTACTATCTTGCACATTCTCTTCTCCTGTACCTCTCATGACCAAGGTTACATAATCTTAAACAGCTGGGCAAAGTGATGGTGTTCATTATAGACAGCATAGTACAGCAGTCAAGAGCACAGTCTCTAGAATCAGACTGTGTAGGTTAGATTCTTTTCTATTATTTACTTGCTATGTGATATTGGTCAACTCACTTAACTCTCTAAGCCTTGGTTTTTTCACCTATAAAATAGGGAATAAAATAATAATACCTATAATAAGCCTAAGAAATGTTTAATGTAGGGTTTGGCAAACATTAAGTGTTCAACAAATGTCAGCTATTATTATCTGGAGACTCAGAACCAAGAGTAAAGCTAACTGCTCTGTATGGGAATCAACCACTACATTCTAGTACTGCATCTTGCTAAGAGAAAATGGAGAAAAACTTTGAAACCTAAGATGCCTCTCTTAGGCATATATTGTATGGCAATGGAATTATGGAAGAACCTTATCAAGCCAGGCCTAAACAAGAATGGGAGAAGAAAGTATTGGTGAATAGCTCACTTCAGATTAAGAACATAAAAACAGAATTTGCAGGATAAAGGAGCTTACGGCATGCCATTCTTAGTTAAGAGCTCAAAATAATTTCACAGACTGATCAGTAATATTCTAATGCTAAGAGTGCAAACTTGAGACCAAGAATGACTTCTACTTATGTCATCAAAAAACACAGTCATTTTCTATTGTCTTATGCCACTTCGCTATTTGTATATATGTACTGAATCAGCCTTGACAATTCTTTCAAGACAGTCTTTTCTCAAACCCCAGAATAACACCAATTTTTCTAGTCATATTATTTTTTCCTCTGAATTTCTGTCAAATGCTTAATAATTCCAAGATTTAAGTAATGTGGCTACTCATTATTCTGGATATTGATGCAGAAGTAGTCATTAGGAGGTACATCTATAAACATTTCAATGTTACTCTTATCTATGGGCCTACCACCCTGAACACACCCAATCTCATCAATATGTTACTCTGCTAAAAGAGCTTTTTACTGGAATATATGGTAAGTGTTCCTCTAAAGTATATGGGATATATTTTTCCCTCTGACAATGTAACCATCATATGTAATATCTACATACAAGGTAGTCCAGCTCCAAGCAGAATCAGTATCTTACAGAGGGTAAGGCACAACTAAAGCAGAGAGCAAGGATCTGGATACAACCAGATTTACTTGTTTCTGGTTTTTTGAAATTTCAAGTACAAGGTAATCTATAGGTTAAAAAAAAAAGAAAGAGATTAAAAAAAAAGAGATTTAAAAAAGATAATTAAAAGGACTGTTGGAAACCAGTATGACAAATGGTAGGTGCTTTTTCACCAATGGCTCAACGAAATAGATGTGGATAACCTTGATGTTGTTAGTGGTCAAAGTGGGCCATAGGGAGGTAGAGAAGGAATGGTATAAAGAATTTACAATTCAAAAGATAGACCTCTATGAGGTAAGATTTTATGATTGATTTTTAAACCCATCAATCATAAAATATGATTAAGTATTATCCCTTTTCAGGATACTCACAGTGTGAAATTGTAGAATTTTCATCAGAATCTACATACCTTCCTTCTGTACAGGCTTAATTAAATCAATTTAAAGTTTGAGGGTTAATTTTGGAAAGTCAAACATTATTGAATTCCAAGTCTAGTAAATAAGTGGCTAATCAAACAGTCAAAAGTTTATAGGTGTGGTGGCACACCTGTAATCCCAGCACTTTGGGAGGCAGAGGTGAGACGATTGCTTGAGTTCAGGAGTTGGAGACCAGCCTGGGTAGCTTTGCAAGATCTCATCTCTACAATAAATTAATTAGCTGAGTACAGTGGTGCACGTCTGTGGTTCCAGCTACTTAGAAGGCTGAGGTGGAAGGATCGCCTGAGCCTAGTAGGTTAAGGCTGTGGTAGCCATGAGCATGCCACTGCACTCCAGCCTGGGCAATAAAGTGAGGCTCTGACTAAAAAAAAAAAAAAAAAAGTTTAAAGGAAGTGTAAGAGTAACAGAGGGTTTTCTTATAAAGCTTATTAAATAGGAATTCTAAGTGCTCCAAATATCTGGAGGAATAGTAACACTATTGGAATAACAAGAACTACCTAATTAAAGGACAATCCATAATGGTTCTAGCATGTTACTATACTTTATGCAGTATTCCTTAGTATATTGAAAGCCTCAAGGATGAAATATAGTGCCTGGTGATGATGAGCTTAATAATGTATCTTTATCGGTAGATTACAGATGGAGTGCACCAAAATTCAAAAGAATAGGAAATTATGAGGTAAGTATCATAATTACCTCATAATTATGAAAATTCTATCAACTAGTGGCAATAATGGAGAATACTAAGTAAGGTACTGAGGCCATCTGAAGCAGTGGAACCAAGGTAATGACAAGTGACAGACCATCTCATCAGTGAGTTTGTGCAGGTTGAAAGTAACCTGAGAGAGCAATATACTGTAATGGGCCAAAAACAATGAGTATATATTCTTTATAAGAATTGTTATGTCTTCTTCAAGCAATTCTGACTTCTCCTCCTATCTGATGCTATAAAAATAGGATAGTGCAAATATCTATTTGTACCACAGTATACAGGTAAGAGGTAGAAGGAGAGTCAGAAGTCACCAAAAGGTATAACTATCCAAGCTTAAGAGCAGCTGGGCTGAGTCTCTACTCACCTCTTTCTCTGCATCACTCCCACAACCATCACTAATGAATCCACTTCCTTTGCTGACACAGGTACTGGGACTGGGGGTGGTGAAGGATATGTACAGATGCTCAATGACTCAGTGGAGTCAGTGAAGGTGATACATGAAGAAAAATGCCGGAGTGCTGTTAAAAATATAGCATTCTGAGTTTATATGGAAATATGGATTTCTATCAACTAGAAGGAATATCAGAATAAAAAAATCGCACTTAACCATAAATATGTTAAGTGTCTATAAAATTTTCCTAGAACTAGGGTCTTAGAAAGCTAAATAAAAATATAAGTTTCACATAGAGGCTGCTTCAGATTCTAGAGCAGCTTCTTAGATCAGATTAGGAGTACAAGGGTACCTTCCAGGAAAAAAATGGGAAAGGGGATCACAGGAGATGGGAAGAAGCAGAGGAACTAGGAGTAGCAGTCTCTCTCAGATCTATAGCTACTCACCCAAAAGACAAAGTGCCTCAAGCCACAACAAGCAACTTGCTCTAATGCTATTTTAAATTTCTAAAGAATATATTAGGCCATTGGGAGCTCCATCAGACACCTCCAAAGACAGTCAAGCTAATCAACTTGCATCAAGGCCCGGGGCCCAAACTACTAAAGAGCTATCCTAACTTTGCCTCCACTACAGATTCTGACACTAAAGTTGCAATGATGACAAGCTATCTGCCTTTTTACTACACTGAAAGACTTCTCAGCAGTTTGTGGTTTCTCTAATGTTGAACAGTGCTCAAACTATGACTGAAGCTTTTCCTAAACTCCTAAAGATTCAGATTTTTCACCACTGTGGATTCTCTGATGTCGAATGAGACTCGACCTCTGAATAAAGGCTTTTCCACACTCATTACACTGATAAGGCTTCTCCCCTGTATGGATTCTCAGATGTTGAATGAGACCAGTGTTCCCATTGAAAGCTTTCCCACATTCTTTACATTTATAGGGTCTTTCTCCAGTGTGGATTCTCTGATGTTCAATAAGGCCTGACTTTTGACTGAAGGCCCTCCCACACTCATTGCATTTGTAGGGTTTCTCCCCGGTGTGGCTTCTCTGATGGCCAATCAGATGTGAGCTCCGCCTGAAGGTTTTCCCACACTCATCACACTCATAGGGCTTCTCCCCAGTGTGGATTCTCTGATGTCCAATGAGGTGTGAGCTATGACTGAAAGCTTTCCCACACTCATTACATTCATAGGGTCTCTCCCCACTGTGGATTCTCTGGTGAAGAATAAGGCCTGCACTCTGACTGAAAGCCTTTCCACACTGATTGCACTGATACGGCTTCTCCCCAGTATGGATTCTCTGGTGCAGGATCAGGCCTGTGTTCTGACTGAAGGCTTTACCACACTCCTTACAGTGATATCGTTTTACTTTGTTATGGATATCCTGGTGTGAAAGAAGGGCTGATCTGTAACTGAAGGCTTTACCACAAACATTACATTGATAGGGCTTCTCCCCAGTGTGGATTCTCCAGTGGCGAACAAGGCCTGAGCTCTGAGCAAAGCTTTTCCCACATTCATCACATTTATGCCGTCTCTCTTGTGTGGGATTTCCCCGCTGCCTCTCTAATCTGCCCAGAAGGTCTTGGGCTTCTCCATGCTCAAGACCCCCAATAACATCCCCGTTGCATCTGGCAGCTGTCTCTCCATGTGGTTGGATTCCAGAAGATATTACCTGTTTTGAAGTTAATTCCCTGTTCTCATTCCTGGTCTCACCACCTGAAATAAAAATGTAATAAACAAACATGAAGCCAATGTCACTTCCTATTCTTTATGCTAGAAGAAAAGGACTGAAGATGGGGAAAAGGAGAGTATACCTGAAACAGCTATAAGTAAACACAAAGCTTTTCTCTGTCTCAAAATGGCTTCTTAATAGGGGGAGATATGAGAAAGGTCAAACAGGCCAGCTGGAAAAGAGGTACTATGGCAAAAGAGGGTTACTGGAAGGGAACTAAAGTCAGGAAGGGATCAGCTGAGATGAAGTAGAAGCTGGGGAGTGAGATGGAACATGAGAATTACTAACATAATTAATTAGTTGGATAGAAATGGGCAAACGCCCCCAAAGTCATAAAAGGGAGGCACAATTAGCTTATATGAGAAAAATCGATGTAGAGATCCCATGAGAACTGAGAGAAGAAGTGTGTGAACTCAGAGAGCAACAGCGAGATGTCAATTTCCAACTGGCAAATAGACCAATACCCAGGTACAAAATGTAAGGAAGTTCTGGATTGGAGAATAAAAATTTCATTTTAGATCTCAAGAAATCTCAACATTGTATCCCTCTGTTGGATCTTGAGTTAAACTGTGTATTTTGGAAAGCCCATAACTACCATACACATAAAAAACAAACAAAAAATCTTAAATGATAAAATAACCACAGCTCTCCTTACCCAGGGAGAACATGTTCCTGTAATTCTCTGGCCTGCTATCTCTACTCAGATCCTTCTGTGATGGATCAAGAAGCCACTCCTCTCGAATAAGGGACACAGCCATATCTTCGATCTTCTCCAAAGTCTGAAACAAAATAAGATTCCCATTTGGGGACTGGGACTGCTCCACAGCTCAAACCTAGAGTGTCAGAGAGATCCACCAGTGTTGGGAGAGGATTAAGAGTTGGGAATAAACTGTGTAAGGGGATTTGAATAGTCAGGAAAATGCATTAGATTTATGGGGGAAATCCAGGATCAACCCCCCACCTTATGCAAAAGAATTTTGGGCAAGTTCTTGGGTAGGTACTGCTACAAACAGTCCAGACATGGGCAGATGCCACAAGCACTACTGAGCAGAGCTATGGGGTTTCAGTGAGGAGCACAACTCACCTGGAACCCTGCTGTGAGAAGTGTAGCTGTCATTTCCTGGTCTCCAGAACTTCCTTTCTGGGAAGGGGTAGGACTCTGAGAAGAAGACATGGCTGAGAGAGGAGAAAGGAGCTTTGAATGAGACCAACCCTGTCCTGTGGTTATGGGAGCCAACACTTACCCATTCTAAATTATTTGTTAATCAGCAGATTATGCATGCCAAAGTTTTTGCATATGAAGTGCTGATATCTTGGATTCTGGGCCGATACCTATGGTTGCCCACAAAACATATGTACTTGGATGTCACTGAACTCAGTCTGAAGTTACACTAAAAAATAGTGTGCAGGTTTCTTAACAGAAATTGCTTTTCAATTTCTTCTCTACCAGCAAAACTTCTATCTTTGTTCTTGTGTATAGTATTTCTTTAGGTCCTGATCTCCAAATATGAGAACTGATCAATCTCTAATAACTCTACTTTTCTGAAATGTCTACCATGGCTGCCAGTATTTGTTTTCTCTATGTATCAGATGGCTAATTACCAAAATCAACAGAGATTACTGTGTCTCAGGCAACGAGTTTTAGGACATTAGACAAGAATTATTATAAATTGAAAGTGTTTTCATACTTCTTTAGAAATATTAAAAAGTTATATATATGTTAGAAAAACTACTACAAACCATATACTGGAAAAATTCAAAATGCAGGAGAAGATGAGACTGAAACATCTCATTAAAAGAAAGTAAGAAAATTCTCAAAATATGATGAGAAAATGTTAAAAAGACACAGGAGCTAGATGGAAGGGGCCTCCTCTGGCCAAATCTGAAATGATTTAAACATTAAAATAAAGATAGTAACAGAATATTTATGGAATAGGAATTTAAGAGTCCATACTGACAAATTTAAAAAATAATAATAAAATGGGGAGAAGGAACATTCTCTCTTACAATAATAAACAAACAAATATAGAGGGAATGACAGAAAATCACTATTTTGTAACTATCTTAGTATTCATTGATTCAGCCAAGAAGTACCAATGAATACTAAAACTAGTGTTTTAGCAACAAGTTTAGTGAGTAGGATATTTACATTGATCTTGAGTATCTCTCTACGACTTGCTTACTAATTACAAAGGAAAAAATAGTAAGTATACAATGATTAACCTAGCAAGAATAATCTTAACCTTAACGAAGTCATCAAAGATAATACCATCAAAAACAGGACAAATTCCTGCTGTACTCCTGAGAAGTACATATACAGAAGTATAGCCATGTCTTCAATCTTCTCCAAAGTTTGAAATAAAATGAGATTCCCATTTAGGGACTGAGACTATTTCACAGCTCAAACCTAGAGTGTCAGAGAGATTCATCAGTGTTGGGAGAGGATTAAGAGTTGGGAATGCACAACATCACTTGTTGAGATTTAGGTTATATATAATGAGCAGGGTAGGGCATTCCTGTCAAATATATACAGCCTCAATCTAAACAAGAGGAAACATCAAGCAAATTCATATTGCAGCTAGTCTACAAAATAATATAATTGTACTCTTCAAAAATGTCAAGATCATGAAAGGCAAAGAAAGGCTGAGAAACTATTCTAAATTAAAAGAGACTTTAGAGACATAACTAATTACAAAGTGTGATCTTGGACTAGACTCTGAACTAGAAAGAACATCATTGGAATGATTAGCAAATTGTGAACTGTGGCCTGGGTTAGTATTGTATCAATGCTACATTTCTTAACTGTGACAAATTTATTGTGGTTATCTAAGAAATGGCCTTGTCTGAGGAAATACATACTGAAATATGTACAAATAAAGTGGTATGATGATACCAGCAAAGCCTCAAAAACGCCTTTGTTTAAATGTACTAGGGCAACAGAAATGTGTGAATACATAAAAATCCAATTCTTTAATTTGTTCACGAATTTACCATTGGGATGAAGAGTCTACATTTGAAGCTTAAATAAACATTTAAATACAGATATTGGGACTGGTCTGTAAACAGGATTTTAGTTTCTGGTTCTCCAGGAAGTAGATAGATAGCTCAACTGTACTACTTTTCTTTCTGTTTTCCCCTTCCTCATTGATGAAATCTGGCTCCTCACCTCTCTCTCGTGGCCTTTGGGGCACTGGAGATTTATGCTGGGTTGTCACAGGTTGGAGCTGAGTACGTGGAGGCTCTGGTGCAGATTCTGAATGTACCACCTCTTCCCAGAGTACCCTATGTCCATGTGCACGGGATGGGACCTGGAAACAATGGGACAGTGGGATTATAAGGAATATCTTTGAAAAATGAAATGAACAACGTAAGAGGACAAAGAGCACATCTATAGGACTCAGTGCACATATATACATACTTGGGGAATGAAACAGAAAAGAATCTCATTTACTTCTTAGGGACAGTAAGAAATACAAACATGTAGACTAGCACAGAAAGAAAGGCATCATTTCTGTTTAGCACTGAACGAAAAGATTTTCACTGATGATCTCTCCCTGTCATGCATCAATAATTTGCACTCTTAAGGCTAGGGAAGAAAGACTAATAGAAAATTAAAGCAGTGCTAGGCTGTGGAAATACCTTTTGGCAAGGAATTAGGAAGTTTGAATTCTGTTCTCAAATCTACCTTTAATTATTTGGGTGCCCCATGAAAAAGTAATTTAAGCTCCCCATGTATTAAGTTCCTATTTGGCAAACAGAAACAATAATACAGTTTGTAAGGACATTATGAGGATAAAAATGGATTTATGTCCTTTATGAAAATAAACAACTCTAAGAATATACCATAACTATTTTCATCTTTATTCAACAGAAACTGATACTAAGCATTTGCTCTCCCACTGTGATGACGATGTCCCTCTACCCAGCTTCCAGGACTCCCATATTCACAGCGTGTACATCACCTTCTACTTACTGGTCGTCCTAATATATCAATCTGCCTTTCCAAATCCTCTAATAGGGTCACCACCTCCTCTCCGTTCTCTAGTTGATGCTCCTTAACCAGAGTCTGGAGCTCCTCGGGCAGGATGGTCAAAAACTGCTCCAACACCAACAGCTCTAGGATCTGCTCCTTGGTGTTCAAATCTGGCCTCAGCCACTGATGGCAAAGTGCTCGGAGTTGGATCAGAGCTTCTCGGGGTCCTAGCGTCTCCTGGTAGCATAACTGCCTGAAGCGCAAGCGGAATAGTTCTTGGCCAGGAGGGTTATTTTCATGCAGACTAGATTCTTGGTCCCAACCTTGGTCCTCCTCTACCTTGACAATTACAAGATCCTCTTCAGGAGCCTGGTCTGGTGGGGACAGGGCTAAAGGCTTTCTTGATTCTTCAGCCATTTAGGGCCTGAAAAGCTCAGGAGGCTCGTTTCCACTACTTTCTTTATCTTCTTAAGGGAAGAATCTTCTGAGGGCCTCTTTTCTAATGGTACTTCTTCAGGAAGAGAAAATGATAAATAATGTTAAGGAAGGTCAAAAGTTACAGTAACTTATTATGATACCTTAACATGAACTTCATGGCTCAGACATTTAAATGATCCTCTCTACTGTTCCAGAATTAACTCCTTACCTCCTTAACCTTCTACCATGCCCACCATGCCCAAACTACCCACAGAATAAACCCTTCCTTCTGCTTTTATTCCCATGTTTGGGGATGTGGAACATGGCTAAAATGTCAGGAAACCATATAGACTAGGTCTCACTGAAATTCTGTGTTTAATGTCAGCTGGCCCTCAGTGCTGTTAGTTTAACTCCTTTTAGCATGTTACACCAGCTGTACTAAATTGTTTCTACATACTTCAGCTCTCAAACTTTCCTTCACTTTCAACAAAAGAGACTAATTTCCATATAATCTAGCTCAATGTATTGTCAAGAACTTTCCTGACACTTTCCTCTTCTCCATATAACATTCATTATTCTACCTGTGCCCCCGTCTTCTCTCCTATCTCAAGGCTAACTTCCTCTCCTGTGGATGTTATCTCCAACTCAAGAACTTTCTTTGGAACACTGAATCTCCAGAAACCTGAATGCCCCATCAATGTCAAAAATATAACCCCACACACTAATGACCTTCAAGAATGTTATGTGAACAAATTGTTTATGCACTCCCCACTGAGAGAGATGTTTCCAGCTTTTGATGATTATGAATAAAGCCACTATGAACACCTGCATGTGAGTTTTCGTGTGAATACAGTTTTCATTTGAATATTCAGAAGTATAACTGCTGGGTCATAAAATACATGTCTGTATAAATTTTTAAGAAACTGTATTCCAAAGTGGTTGTAACATTTTGCATTCCACCAGCAATATATGAAAATTGCAGTCGCTTCCCATCCTGACCAGCACTTGATATTGTTTTTGTTTTTAATTTTATACATTCTAATAGGTGAGTGTGTAGTGGTATCTTGTTATGATTTTAATATCACATTTATGATTTTAATTTGCATTTTTCTACTGACTAATAATGTTAAGCATCTTTTTATGTGCTTATTTGCCATCCAAATATCTTCTTTAGTGATATACCTGTTCAAAACTTTTGCCTATTTTTTAGTTGAGTTTTTAAAAATTAAGCTTTGAGAGTTCCTTATATGTTATGGATACAAGTCCTTTATGGGATATGTGATTTACAAATATTACCTCTTTTTCATTTTTTTAACAGGGCCTTTTGAAGAACTGAGGTTCATCAATTTCTTGAGGTATATTAATTTTTTTTCTTTTAGGGACTGTGCCTTGTGTGTCATAGCTAAGAAATCTTTGCTTAACTCAAAAATCACAAAGATTTTCATCCTTTTCTTTCTATAAGCTTGATAGTTTTAGGTTTTACATTTAGGTCTATGATTCATTTTGAGGTTTTTTTTTTGTATATAGTCTGAGGAATGGTTGAAGTTTTTTTTTTTTTTTTTTTGCTGTTGTTTTACAAATATCAAATTGTTCCAGGACCATTAGTGGAAAGGATTATCCCTTATCCACTGAATTGTCATTGTATCTTTGTCAAAAATAAATTCACTTTGCGCGTGCGCGCGCGTGTGTGTGTCTGTGTATGTAAGGGTCTACTTCTGAAATCTTTATGTTGTTCATTGACCTATGTGTCTACCCTTTCATCAATACAAAAAACTGTCTTCTGTGGTTTTTAAAATCCTGACATAAAGTATTGTGAGTCTTGTAATTTTGTTCATTTTCAAAATTATTTTGGCTTTTCTAGTTCTTTTGCCTTTTGATACACATTTTAGAACTGGCTTGTTCATTCTACAAAAAAGTATGGAATTGAATTAGTGTTCAATCTTTACCTTAGTTTAGGGACAACTGATATCTTAGCAATATTAAGTTTTCCATTCCATGAACACAGTGTATCTCTCCATTTAAGTCTTCTTTGACTTATTTCATCAATGCCTAACATACCTATTCCTAAAGAACAGTATTCTTATAACACCACTGTCTTTAAAATCCTTTTTTGGTGACCATAACTAGAACCTATTCCCCTCTCATTTTATACCACTGTTACATACATGTGTATTGCTTTAATGTTACTTTTTCCATAATTGTATATACTTGTTGCAAAGAAATTTTTCTGAGTCAGGGTCTCACCTTGTCAGTCAGGCTGGAGTATAATCAAGCTCACAGCAATCTCGACCTACTGGACTCAGGTAATCCTTCTGCCTCAGCCTTCAGAGTAGCTAAGACTACAAGTGCGCACCACCAAGCCCAGCTAATTTGTTTTGTTTTTTTTTTTGTAGAGAGGAGGTCTTACTATGTTCCCTAGGCTGGTCTTGAACTGCTGGGCTCAAGCAATCCTCTCGCCTTGGCCTCCCAAAGTGCTAGGATTACAGGCATGAGCCACCGTACCTGGCCTGCAAAGAAATTTTGAGTTATGTATATCATAACTTAATTGTATTTACCCCACGAGCAGAGGTCCATATCATTTATCTTACTGACAGAATCAAAGAACATTAGCTATATTTACAATAGTTAACACAGAATGTGTCTAAATTTGCTGTAAGAATGAGGTTTAGAAACAAGACCTGAGGTCCAAAAAGAGTTCAATTTCATGGTCCTATTTTCTTGTGGATTATATGTAATGGCTTCTATCTTTGGAACGAACACCATTTCTCTTTTTTTTTTTTTTTTTTGAGTTGGAGTCTCACTCTGTCACCCAGACTGGAGTGCAGTGGCATACTACCAGCCACTGCAGCCTCGACCTGCTGGGCTCCGGCGATCCTTCCACCTCAGCCTTCCAAGTAGCTGAAACTACAGGTGTGTTCTACCACGCCTGGCTAATTTTTGATTTATTGTAGAGATGAGGTCTTGTCAAGTTGCCCGGGTGGGTCTCGAACCCACGGGCTCAGGCAATCTACTCGCCTTGGACTCCCAAAGTTCTGGGATTACAGGCTGAGCCACCGAGCCTGGCCCAGATACCATCTCTTGTCTATGACTGCAGTGGTAACAGGGTTGCAGTTATCTCTCTTTGGTTATGTTTTTTTCTCATTCATATCCCACAGTGCTGCCTGCTGTGGTTGAACTGTGCTTCCCAAAAAGAGATGCTGAGGTTCTAACCTCTGGCATCTATAAATGTGACCTTATTTGGAAATCAACAATGCTCTGCCATACTGGTTATAAAATATTTCAGTGTGGCTGGGCACAGTGGCAGTGGCATACACTTGTAATCCCAGCACTTTGGGAGGCCAAAATGGAAGAATTGCTTGAGCCCATAAGTTGGAGACCAGCCTGGGCAACAAAGCAAGAACATCTCTACAAAAAATCAAAGCATTAGCTGGGCATGGTAACATGTGCCTGTAGGCCCAGTTATTCAAGAGGCTGAGGCTAGAGGATCATGTGAGCCCAGTTTGGAGGCTGTGACGAGCCATGATCGTGCCACTGCACTCCAGCTTGGGCAAGGAATGACATCCTGACTTAGACAAAAAAAAATTTCAATGTGAAATGTACAAAATTCAAGAGTTTTACATTGTGGTATTAAATCTAAATAGTGACACTAATGGAAGCCACCTAATTATCAGGTTTATCAATATTTTTTTTACCAAATCAGTCAGGATCTTGATTCTTTTTTTTTTTTTTTGAGTTGGGGGTCTCACTCTGTCACCCAGCTTGGAGTGCAGTGTTATGATCATAGTTCAATACATCCTTGACCAGGCAATCTTTCTGCCTCAGCCTCCCGAGCAGCTGTGACTTACAAGTGTGCACCACCATGCCTGGTTAATATTTTAACTACTTTTGCATAGATGGGTTCTTGCTATGTTGCCCAGTCTGGTCCTGAACTCCTGAGTTCAAGCAATTCTCCCGCCTTGGCCTCCCAAAGTGCTGGGATTACAGGAGTACGCCACCATGCCAAGCTGTTCATTATTCTTTTTGGTGACCAATTTTCCATTTTTAAGTCTCTTCCCTCTCTAATCAGTCAGTTTTTGAGAATTACAGCCTATGGATAACTGAGTACAAAATTAGTTCACTATGTACCACACTCTCAAAGTTTTGTGTGTCCTGTATTAAGTTGATAAGCACTTTGTGGATAAAAGACTGACTTTTACATATTCCCCTTAAAAAATACCTAATCACGTTTATTGGATTATTAATTTAAAATAGACAATCTTTAAAGTTTTCTTGTGGATCTCAAATGCTATAATCCTGTGAACTACCGAAGACACAACTAAACTTTTAACAGCGTTAATTTTTCAATAGTTGTAGAAGGAATGTATTCCTCCTTCAGACTAATTATGTCTAATTTGAGAAATGTTTGGGAACTGAAGACAAAACAAAAAAGACATTTTCCAGGATTTAACATTCAAGAAAAAGTAGGTGAAGCAAATACTATGCTTTGTAGTTATCTCAAATTGGATTAACTGAAAGTTTTAATATCTACCAAAATTTACATTTAACCACAACAGAAATTCAAATTATGTATGCATTTGCTAAAACAATAACTACCACATAAATATACTCAACTGAACTAATCAAACACAGAAATATGTTTTTAAAGTGGTGGTGGTAGTCTTAAAGTAGCCTGACAATAATTACTCAAGACTAACCTGAGTTTTGGAAACGGTGCCCCTCCCAGAGAGTTTTGCAGGCTCTTTTTTTTTTCACTTAGCTTTAATAAACGAAATAAGCAAAGTATTCTAAGGCTGAAATCTAATTCTAATATTACCCCAACAATTTCAAGAATGTTTCTTTTGTATAATTATCCAGTCAATACACCAATTTTTTCAATACACTAAGGAGAGCAGAATAACTTAAGAGCAAAAATATAAGGTTTCCATGGATAACGGAGCTTCCAAAAGGCAAAACATATCTTTTAAAAATATGAGAATGTTGTGACCAAAATGCAAAATAGCGGTAAGTGCAGTAAGTGAAAGCAACCTAGACTGCCGAAACAATTGGATAAAGATAACGTGAGAGCAGTTCCCCATTTTAAGGCACGTAAGATAGACTGCAAAACAATACCACAAAAAATGAGCTATGAAGAACGCGAACTTGCATAAAAGGTTCCCTCGCAAAGTCTGGGGACACGGACTTGGCCTGCGCCGGCACCTAAGGTGGCTCCTCAGTGCCTGAATGAGTAGGGGGCGCCGACCACCGCACAGGCCCGCTCTTCGGACCCCTCAGGCCTGTCCTCAACAGCGGCCTGCTCCAGCCACAAAGCATCTCCCTCCGGCCCAGAGCCCGGCCATACTCACCGTGAGTCCCAGAGGCGGCCTGGGGTGGGGAAAGAAGGCTGCAAAGGGTAAAAAGACCCGGAGGGTTGGGGTTAAAAAGGGACGAAAGCGGCGCTCGGACCAGGTCTCTCCAGCCACCAAGTTCCAAACCTGCGGAGGCACAACACCGGCCAGCACGCATCTTGTCCCAAAGGCACTTCCGGAAGCTCTCTAGGAATCCTGGAGGTCTGAAAGCTCTATGGTCAGCCTACTCAGGGGACCGGGCGACCACACTCCTCACCGGCCGTTAGCTGCACCGTGGGTTCTTCCTGCGTCTGCGTGTTGCAGGATTCGTGGCCTCTAGGTGCAGTGAACGCGCCAGGGAATAGCTGATCTTGGTGTCCTCGCCGCCTCGCGCGCCCGGCCAGCTCTGCGCTTTCGCTGGCAAAGAGTAACGGTCCCCTGGGTGTGGATCCGCAGATCGCGGGAGTCCAAGGATTGGGAACAAGAGGAACTGGGAAAGCAGTGGAGGAGGGAGCAGTTTATAAATTCTTATGGTGTTAATTATCTGGATTCACGATGGCCCTGTTCAATATCCTGTGCTTTACTATTCTCGACTCATACATGTATCCAGCCCTCCTACACAGACGGCAAACTTCTTGAGGAATTCCTGCTAATCATAGTTCATGGTTCTGTGAATCCCCTGAGTCATGACACGTAGGAATAGTACACTTTAAGTATTCAAAAAATAACTGTCATATAAATTAGTTTCAAATCTTTACGTATTTTCCACCCTTAATGAATTTCAATATCTTACAAAACCCGCTTTGTTGCTTAGCTATTTTAATGCTAAACCTATGGATGTAAGCTTCAGTAGACCCTAGTTTTAATATCACAAGTTGGGAAGTAAATCTATGTTCATTCTTTATATACTTTTTGTATTAAAGCTTTTAGCTTTTATTATATTGAGTAGCTAGCAGAAAAAAAGCTTTTTAACTTTTCAGACTAAAGAGGATTTCAGGGAGGGAGGTTGTGGGAAATGTCTTTTATTTTTGTCATTTGGGTTCCATGTTTTTATTCCCTTCAGTGACTTTCCTAACTGCCCATTTAGTCTGAGTTTTCAGGTGCCCCTCGTTTTTATCTTAATTTCTCTTTATCTGCTTCTGCTGGTAGCTACCACTACCAATGTTTCTATCACTTCCCCCCATAAGTTTAGTGTCTTCTGCCAGTGTCCTTAAAAACTGTGGTAAATTTAATTGTTAGCTTGCAAGTAGGGTAAAAGCTTTACAAGTTTTGACATAGGTTGCACATAAATACAACCTGAATTGTATCTATATATACAGAATTTTCTTCCAAAAAAATGGAATAGGTATTATTGGGAAACTGTTTTTTTTTTAAATTGATCATTTATCATTTTAACAGCTGAATAGTATTCCACAATAGGATATGCAATTACTACCCTATTGATAGACATTTTTCCTTTTTTTTTTTTTGAGACAGGGTCTTTCTATGCTGTCCAGGCTGGTCTTGAACTCCTGGACTCAAGTGATTCTCCTGCCTCAGCATCCCAAAATGCTGGAATTACAAGCATGAACTGCCATGCCTGGTCTTTTCCCCTTTTTTCGACCGTCAGCAATTCTGTTTGCTTTATACTGCCTTCCAGGATTACCCTCTCCCTGCCCCAGAATCATGGTCATATTTCTTCCCTTCTCTCAAGTCAAAATACTTGTCTCATTGGGCATCACTCAAATTAAACACTGGTTGATTATCCTCATAACAGCTCTCGTCCTCTCAGAATTTTTAAATTCTATTAAGCATTGATCATATTCTGTCACATTACTTGCTATTGTTACATTTGCTGTCAAATAGATTAAAGCTTCCTTAGCTTAAGTGTCTGATGTTTGTGTTGAGATCTCCCTCCCAATTCCAGTAAATGGCAGCCCTAGTAATATGCAGATGTGCCACACATTTCTAACGGAAGCGTTTTGACTTGTTTTGTCAACTACCTAAATTAATCCGATTCTCTTCTCTTATGCTCTAGTCTTAATTTCTTCTTAGATACGTCCTCATTCATCCAAGTACTTTATCAAGTGCCCACTATGTGCCAGATACCAAGTGAGGTGAAAGTGCTGTAATGAGCACATCTATTAATCACAACGACCATTAATCTTTTGCATTCTTCTTGGTTTCTCCCTTATCCAAGGTCTGCACTTTTACTCTTTTTTACCCCTGCTCCAGAAAAGGGAAACTTGGTTAATTAGTCCCATTTGTCTGACTTGGATGAGAGTTATAGTAAACATGGGGGAGGTGGGGGAAGAGAAGGGCAAGGGAGGGAAACGTCCTAAGACTAAGAACTTGCACACTTGTCAAAACCACCCTATGAAATAGGCACTGTGTTAGTGTCCTGATTTTACACAAATGAGGAAATCGAGACTGAGAGGTTAAAAAAAATTGCTCGCAGTCCTAAGTGGAGAGTGGTGGGGTCAAAATTTGAATCCAGGTTTAAAGAATTCTTGTGCCAGCAGTCTTCACCCATTTCGTCTGGGTCCTCATTGCCCCTAAGGATACAGAAACCAAATCAGACCATTTTTCATCTCCCTTGGTCCACAAGGCCCTGCTGGATCACAGCGAGCAGGGCATCAGCAGGCACAGTCTGACCGCAGGACGTGAATGAAGGCGCTCCTCCCCAGACCGATCCAAAGTTTCGAATGTCCCAGCCTGCCCCTCTCTCGGGAGACTAAGGCTGCACTGAAACAGTAGAACCTTCCTTTCCTCATCAGCGAGGGTCTTTTGGGGTTTCTCCTGAGGTAGTGGCTCTGCAGAACCGCTCCTTGTTCCAGAGGCCCTTCGGCTTTTGCCCCCTCAGTGCCTGGTCCCTGCGCTCAAAGCCGCAGGTTGTGGTCGACACCGAAGGCTACGGGCCGCGGCAGATGCGGGTCCCCAGGCATCCCCGAAGTTCCCAGAGGGCCGTGGTAGGCTTACTTTGCGAGAAGGGCCCGGTTGTGGTGAGCCCAGTCCGAACAGGCTGCCGGACAGTGCGTTCCTGAATCCATACAAGCGGGTCCCCTCTTGCTCCACTTGGGAATCCTGAGCCTCTTTCCAGGACGGAACTCCAGTGTATCTGGAGCCAGGAAAGGCCGGCCCCCTTCCACCCCCCCGCCACCAACCCCCTGCTCTCTCGCGACCTCTAGCTACTTCCGGTTGGTAGCAGTTCCAGAGCAGCCCCCAAACCGTTGTGTGCGCTAGGCCTGGGTCAGAGGCTGAAAACCCACGGGAGAGGAGGTCTGTCCGGTGAGTGTCGGAGAGAGGGCGAGGTTGAGGGGTGATCTCCGCCACTGGACAGCCCGGGTTGGAATTGGGGTCAGGTACTGGGGCGCAGTTCAAAATTATGGTAACTGTTAAGACTACAGGTATTATTTAAAGACACATCCAACAGCACAAAGCAGCGAGTTCATGAAGATCATTAACTGATTTAAACAGCTTTGAGAGGAAGAACATGCTGAATTTGATGCCAACAAAAAGCTCTAACAGCCCTAATGGCAGGAGCTAAGGGATTTTTGTGCCCTGCAGGCACTGTTCTACACCCTACATTTGGTCATTCATTTAATTCCTACTTTATGAAGTAAATGCCATTATAATACTGCTTTACATAGAACCTGAGGCACAGAGCGAATACGTGTGTTACTGAAGGTCGTTTCACTAGTAACTGGAAGAACAAGGATTCATACCCAGTCATTCTTTTAACCTCTATGCTCTATTGCCTTTCATTGATTTTATCAGCTTAGGAAATGTGTTATCCAGATGGAAATGTAAGTTGGTACAGAAACAAGTATTATTGTGGCAGTGTTCTGAATCTCATCAGACTTGTTGGCTTTTAGACAAAGGACTTCTTTGACATGGGTGCTTCCACAGAGTTTTACAAAGAGAATACAGATTTTTCATTTTACTAAATTAATTAGGCCCATTTCAAAGTTTCTTCTGCCCCATTCCTCTCTAGCTTCTTTTTTGGCTTTATTTTGTTCCTATTAGGTTAAATCATTTGAAATTGCTGGTATTTGATGATTTTTAATCTACAAAAACAGCAATTTCATATGTTTAACCTAATACACAAATATCTTTTCAAGCGAGAATTTAGAAGTCTACAACAATCAGCAACTTGCTATGGCTTTATGTTCAAAATATACCTTAATTCTATTTATTTCTCTTCATATTCATTGTGAACTCATGGTCCATGCCACCTTCTGCTTGGGTAACTGCACTAACCTCTGGACGGATCTCTTTGCTTCTGCTCTTTTCTCTCTTGTCGCTTTAAGCTAGAAACATACTTTAATTTTTTGGTGGCAGGAGGGTGACAGGAGATAGGGTCTCACTTTGCCACCCAGGCTAGAGTACAGTGAGTGGGGCAATCATAGGCCACTGTAGCCTTTAACTCCTGAGTTCAAGAGATTGTCTTGCCTCAGTCTCCTGAACAGCTAGGATTTTAGGTGAGTGCCGCCATGCCTGGCTAATTTTATTATTATTATTATTTTGTAGAAATAGGTCTCATTATGTTACCAGGCTGGTCTCCAACACCTAGCCTTGGCCTTTCAAAGTGCAAGGATTACAGGAGTGAGCCACACAGGAGTGTGCCCAGCCAGAATGATTTTTTAAAAACAAAAATCAGGCTGGGCTTGGTGGCTCAGCCTGTAATCCCAATGCTTTGGTAGGCCGAGGTGAGTGGATTGCCTGAGCCCGTGGGTTCGAGACCCACCCGGTCAACTTGGCGAGCCCTCATCTCTACAATAAATCAAAAACTAGCCGGGCGTGGTAGCGCGTGACTGTAGTTCCAACTACTTGGAAGGCTGAGGAGGAAGGATTGCCGGAGACCAGCAGGTTGAGGTCGTGGTGGCCGGGAGTGTGCCACTGCACTCCAGTCTGGGCGACGGAGTTAAGACTCCAACTCAAAAAATAAAATAATATAAAAATAAAATAAAATAAATAAAATAAAAACAAAAATCAGATCATGTTCCTTTCTTCCAGTGGTGCCCCATCACACTTAGAATACACATCCTCGCCCCTGCTCACCTCTCTGACCTTTCTTTTTCCACTTTCCCCTTAATCCAGTGCTTTAAACACATGGCCTTCTCTCAGTTTCTTATAAAAACACACTAGATTCATTCCTATCAGAGATTTGTATTAGCTATTCCCTTGCATGGAATGGTCTGCACAAGATCTTGGTCAGTTCTGTCTAATAAATAGGAATCTAATGGGATCCACTTATGTAGTTTTATATTTTCTAATACCATATTAAAAATGTAAAAAGTGAAATAAATTTTAATATACTTTAATTAAACTAGCATATCCAAAATATTACTAAATCAATATCTAATCAATATAAAAATTATTGATAAAGTATTTTATACTTTTTTATACTGTCCTATTTTGGTGTTTTTAAAAATCAGCCTACATTATGCTTTGACATAGTAAGTTTCTAAAAGCCAGTGTATTTTCTATTTATTGTATATCACAATTCAGATATTACACTTCCATTGAAAATAATTGATCTATATTGAATATGATTACAAAAAATTTAAAATGTCAAAAGTAGATTCACATATCCAAATTATTCCAAACACACTTAAAGATTTTCCAGTAACTGAATCAAGTACCAGGTTTTAAATTTAGTTACAATTAAAAATTTAGTTTCTCAGTTGCATAGCTACTTGTACTTAGTGACTACTGCACTGGACAGCACAGATTTAGATCAAGGATAGTGTCTATACTCGTGATTGGGTCAAGGATCAAAGGAGAAGGTAGCATCAGAAGTGTGGCATGGAGGGAAGGTGAAAGGTCTACAAAAATGCACTGTAAGCTCTTTATGTAGCTCTTTATGCAAGTCACATCTGATGACACATTCCTCTGGTCCTTACTATAAAGTGAGAGGTTTTCTAAAGTAGACTACTTATTAGCACGATTGCGGCATAGGTTTTAGGTGCTCTGGGAATAATTTTCTGGGGTAGAGTCCAGCAGTGCTGGTCAAATGTAGCATTTCTTTTTTTTTTTTTTTAATTTTTAAAAGTTGTGAGGTCCAAGTCAAGATTGGGTACATAAGTGATTTATATACAGGCACACATAGCATTTCTAAGTGGAATCTTATTATATGTGACGTGGAACAGTCATGAAAACCGGGTTATTTTCTTATAGCTCATTGGTTCTCAACTGGGGGCAATTTTGCCCCTCAGGGGACATTTGTCCCCCCAAAACTGTGCCCCCAGATTATCTGGAAACATTTTTGGTTGTTACAAGTGGGGAGTGCTAATGGCATCTAGTGGGTAGAGACTAAGGATACTAAGCATCCTACATTGCAGAGAGCAGCCCCCACAACAAAGAATTATCTGGCCCAAGATGTCAATAGAACTAAGGTCAAGAAATCTTGGTATAGAGGATTTGAGTAAGACTGACATAGCTATTCTTTTAAAACTTCAGCCTAACACCCTTGTGATGTTATTAAGGAGAGAAGAGGTTGTTTTGCAGCATTTCAAAGTTTCCTGTTGTTTTCACTGTTGATGGACTTCATGATTATACTAGAATGAAATAATTCCATACTCTGGATGAGAATGTAGGACATTTAATAAAGATAATGTAAGTAGTATGTGCTGTGCGCTTAAGACTGAAAGCATCTTGGGATCAGGAGCTAACCTGTACTTACCTTTGTACAGCTTGTATCATATGACCCATTATCTCAAATATGATTGATGCCAATATATTAGAATTACGTCTCCCTCTTCTATCTTTCCTATTTCCATCCTTTATGTTTGTTCCTCTCCCAATGCCCTTGCTCTTTTTTATTATTCCCTTTTCCTTCCATCTTTCACCTGTCTTGTTTCCCCTATCTTGACTAATGCCCATTCCTACCTCCTACAGCCCCTCCCTTAACACTCATTTATTTCCTCCATTCATAGCTGTTGGCTTCCTCACTCTAAATCATTGACCCACCAACCCCCATCTATGTCTGAGAGCTGTTCCCTGTATTCCACGTAGCTGCCTCTTAAAATCACTGTTTTTAGTTCATAAAAACTACAAAACACAAGTTTTTGCCTCCTCCCTCTTATATATATATCCATCCCTCCAAAAAGATGAGAGGAACAACAGTCCTTTTGCTTCTGACACAACTCTCTGAGAAACTGCCTTTCATGTTCAGTTCTTTTAGAAGAGGTGCTGTCCATCCAGGATGGCTCTCTGCTAACCTGCTGATTTTGATCAGTGTCCAACATATTGCATCTCCTTTTCCAATAACTATGACTGTAACTGAACTCATTATTCATCTTTCCAAACTGGTTGCACCCGCACCAGTTTCTTCTGTGGGTTTCTACATGCATACTATGACACTGCCTGCTTTTCCATAGTATTAGCAACTACTTAGATCTTCTCTAACCTCATGCTCCCCTTGCTTTTTACCTGCAACAATTCCAGATCTCACTGGCCCGTCTTCTTTTGTCTACATCTTTTGTCACTCCCTGACTCAGTTACCAATGTATCTCAGGTCAACATTACACCAAATCTGTGGTGAACACTGTGGTGGCAGTTTGGAATCAACATCAAACCTAAAAAGGGTAGCATGGTTGCAGTGCTCCAAACTACTCTTTACTCAGCCTTTAGGGCCTTTAAAGGTGCAGAACTCCAAAACTAGAACAGTTCTCTGTACATAACAGGTACTTACAACTACTAGTTGTAAGATTTAAAACTTTTCATGAGCATTAAAAAAATCCTTCAACTTTTTCTAATGCTTTGAAATATTGCTCAGATAATTAATTTTAAGTCATTAAAACAAGTATTAATGTGAAACTTGACATTTTAAAAATGTGTATCAGTTGATGTAAGACATTCAAAGTAAATGCACGTCTCTTAAAAAGGACCATTATGTTCAAAAGACAGTTTATCTTTATATTATAAGGAATGCTTTAGGATTCACCTTCCTATAATAGTAGACATAAAAACAATTCTGGTCATTTTCCTGATCTTAAACACAATACAAAGGCAAATGTGCTTAATTGAAATTTTCAACATGATATTTGAAGATTAGGTCACTTCTTCCCTGATCATTTTGGCAATGACTACTCCTAGAATCAGTCAAAGAATCAGATCTTTGTTCCTGGCAGTTTGATTGGTGGTATGAATTTGAATGTGTTGGACCTTTGGCCACAGTTCCTATCATGCTATAAAATGACAGGAGATTAGGAGTGTAAAACTGTAGCAAATAAATGAAATGCTAATGCATTCAGAAGCTAAAGGAAATAAAAAATGGATTATTTACTATCTTAAAGTATTGGTGTCCTGAGAGTTCCAATGTAGTGAATCTGACAGGGGATGCTACTTTGTAAAGGCAATTACATTCTTCACAGAGGTGAGGCGACACTTTAAGATTTCAATTTAGGTTGTATTTACTTTCTCCAGTTAAATACTCTCCTTTTTTGAGGATGAAAAAGTACTATAATGTTATTATTACTCAATTATTTTACTTTGGGGTGTTTGTATTTTATCTTCTGATGATTGCAGCCTCCTTCGGGTATCTTTTTAACTGCCTTCCTGAACTCAGAAGCATACAGTATCAAGGCTGGAAGATACTTACCAGTGACGTAGGAAGCAATGTCCTTTAGAACTTTCTGCAATAGTAAAAATGGTATGTATCTGTACTGTCCAATATAATGGCTATTAATGTGGCTGCTGAGCACTTGAAATGTGGCTAAAAGGCTATATAGTACTGAGTGATGTATCACAGAAACAAAGAACTGAGTACCACATGTTCTCACTCTTAAGCAGACCTTGGACAACAATCATAATACTATAAGAAAGGGATTGGCAGTAGTGGGAAACTGCCAGGAGGGCGGGGGCGGGATTGGCAGTTGTGGGAAACTGCCAGGAGAGGGTGGGGAGCACAACTCATCAACAAGGGTACCTGCATAATGAATATTTGTAAACCTAACCCTGAATTGTACCCCACGTATTTAAAATTAAAAATTAAAAAAAAATGTGGCTAATGTTGCTGAGGAATTGAATTTTCCACTTTATTTGAGTTAATGAGGGTACTGGCTACCATATTGGACAGTGCAGTTCTAGACCAACTCCTCCCTATCTCCCTCAGTTTACAACCTGAGATCCAGAAGAGAAGTGATTTATCTAAAGTTATAGATCCCTACATACTCTTATTCTCCTTCCTAGCAGCTCCTGATTACTTACTGCTTTCCCTTTCATTTTAATGTTTTCCTCAGTCTCCTGTCTTTTCAGATGGCTTCCTCTTTATCACTGTCAAATAAAAATTTTCCACAAAGGGATCATACCCCCTACTTAAGATAAAAGTTGGATAAATATTCAGGCTATTATTTCAGTATGATGGAGAACAATTATTAGCATTGTTTTAGTTATTTTCAAAATACTTTTCATCTATTTTAACCTGTCAAAACATACCTAGTGGCCCTCTATCATCATTTGCACTTTAAAGAAGGGGAAATGAAGGCAAGGAAAAACTGAATGTCTTGCCTAAAGTCATACACTGATAGTCAAGTAACAAGGAGCCAGAGCACAGAACAAAGGTAGAATGCACTCTCTTGTGCTGTAAGTGATCAGGGTTGTCAGTGGACAAGGCTTTTGGAAATAACTGAGTCCTCCCAAAAAGCTGAATTAATTTGAAATAAAAGGATATTTTACTCAGGTAGATTCTTTGGAGCCAGATAAGTTTTTAATGATAATGATGCTTATGTAGCCCACATTCAGGAAACCGTAAGTGTTACCTAAGGTAGATTTTCTGATAACTAGTTAGGCCTAAGCATCTAAAGACCTTTTGTTATTAGTAGAGTTTATTTGCTGTATGAATTCTTTGATGTCTAATAAGAGCTGAACTTACTCGGAAGGGCCTTCCACACTCATCACACTCATAGGGTTTTTCACCTGTATGGATTCTCTGATGCTGAATAAGACCAGTACGCCCACTGAAATCTTTCCCACATTCTTTACATTTATAGGGCTTTACTCCAGTGTGTACTCTATGATGTCCAATGAGATGTGAGCGTTGAATGAAGGCTTTTCCACACGCATCACATTTATAGGGCTTCTCTCCGGTGTGAGTTCTCCTGTGTTTACTGAGGTCTGAGCTATGACTGAAACTTTTTCCACATTCATCACATTTATATCGTCTTCTTTCCCTCTGTTGCCAAACTAATGTGCCTGCATTTTCAATAGCATCTTTGGATTCAGGATGCTGAAGAATATCTTTGTTCAGTCTATCACTTATCGCCCCTAGGAATTCCATGACTTTGGGCATATCTTCCTTCTGGTACAACTCTTCATTCTTATCCCTGGTTTTATCACCTGTAACAAACAAATAGCACACAAACCAGGTCCTATTCTAGATTTGAGAAGCAAAAAGCCTATGGAACAAAGAACATGTAAATGTTATAAATTTGTTATAAAATGAGAAGTCACAATAAAACATATCAAATATTTGGTACCATCTTATTTTTGGTACTGTCATAGCATATAGTCATAATATAGGGAAGAAATTAAGAAGTGACTAGTAAAAAAAAGTTTATCAGCAGGATAAGTTATTTGAGAGTAGGATAAGAGATGAAAAGGCAAAAATGGAGACCAAAGGACTACTTGGCAATCCTGTGCAAAGGCAAAGTGGTAAATGGGGGACTATAGGTATGCCAAGGATAATTAAGAGAAAGAGAGAAAAACTGGATAACAGATACAGGGAGGGAGATAAAAGTTTGGGAGAAACATGCAGGAGCCTGAAACACAGCAAGTGGGAGTAAAAGTGACTGGAAACGATAATAGGATTTGGGGTCTGAGAGAAATACAGTGAGTCAGAACCATCCAAAGAGGGGAACATGTATGAAGGATAATAATTAGCTGGAAGCAAGGTGAGAACATGCAGATCAGGATAAACAGAGCAAAGAAAATGACAGTAGTTGGCTGGTATATGAGCTGAATCTTTTTTTTTTTTCCTGAAATTGATTTCCTCTCTATCATCTCCTTCTGTCTAAATCTCTCGGTGGTTTTTAATTTTGTTGTGCATCACCTGGATGGCTTAAAACAGATTGCTGGGCTTCTTTCTCTTCTTCTATTTGCGGTTGAACCCAAGAATTTGCTTTTCTAGTAAATTTTCTGGTGAGATAGATACTGCTGGTCCAGGAACTACACTTTGAGAACCACTGGCTTTGCCATTATTCATGGTGTATCTCAAATGCTGTCTTCTCCAGGAGACATTAACTTCTAAATGCCAAATTCAATGGACTTTTATAGTCCTTATCTTGTGTTCTATTAGTAACACTGGCTACTGCTGATCTCTCCTACTGGCTGAAACCACTATCTTAGCTTCAGTAATACCATTCTCTTCTGCTTCTCTTACCTTTCTGACAGTCCCTGCTCTGTCTCCACAAAATCCTTTTCCTCCATCCAAATTTTAAATGGTGGCTTGTCTCAGAATTTTGCATGCAGCTCTCTCCTTTTTTTACTTTATGCATTCTTCTGGATCAACCTCATCTACACCCATGCCTTCTACCTTTTACCCAGGGATGACTTTCACATCTCTATCTCTTCCTAAACCTTTCTCCTAAATCTAGAACCATATTTCAAATTGCATTGCCTGGATTTTATTTAGTTGGATGTTTTATAGGCATTGCAAACATACATGTATAAAAATTGAATTCACTCCCCGTAACTCTTCTTCACACATAGATATATGCCTCTTCTGATTTTCCTCTTAATTACTGGCGCCATAATCCACCGAGTTATCCACAAACTCAGATTGTATTAAAATTATCCCTCTCCCCATATCTAACCAGACCCATTCATTCTACTTCCTAAATATCTCTTACATGTTCCCCTTTCTCTCTCTTCAACCTTATTCCTGCTCTGGTTCACCATTCTGTGTTTGAAAGTGACCTTATCCCCTGCCACCTCACGTTTATATCCTTTCTCCCTACAATAGTTGTATGGTCATCCAATTATAGGCTTTGGAAAATAGAGACAAAATAAGTTGCCTGTGATCTCATTATCTTGAAATAACCATTGTCTACATTTGGAGATATCCTTCCTATCTTTTTCTATTACATAGAAACTTAAAAAAAAAATAGTCATCTGTGCCACCTACTCTTCTATTTAAAATAACAGACTTCCATCTCCATCTGATAGGATGAGATTCCGTTTCCTCAGCATGGCATTCAGGAATCTTTACCATTGGCTTTTGATTTTCCCTTCCACAAAATCTTCCATATCAAAATCAAAGTCAGAGTAGTTGCTGTTCTTAGAATGTGTTATGCTGATGCTTTTTTTCTATTTCTTTTTCTTTTTTCTTTTTGTCTAGAATGTACCTCTTCCCAGTTCCCACCCATCTGACCATCTCAGGTCAAGCAAACCTACACTGTGATACATTTGCAGGCTTACCTCAGGGATAGGCATCTTTTTCTTTGTAGCTCACAGTGTATCTCTAGTACAGTAATTATCATAGTATTATAATTGCTCACTCTCTTGCTTCTTGAAGAGAAGTAACTGAAGTGTCTTATCTTTGGATACCTTACATCTAGCATAGTGCCTGGCATATAGGCTACTCAGTAAATGTTCAATGAAAGAGGAATGAATGAGTAGACAGGAGTTGAGCTGTGATTCACGCTTGTAATCCCAGTGACTCTGGGGGCTTATGTGGGAGGATCTTGAGTCCAGGAGTTTGAAACCAGCCTGGGCAACACAGCAAGACCCCATTTTCTAAAAAATAAAATAAAAAGAGACAAGGGATTCTCAATTTCACCTCTAAAGCCAAGCTGTAACCAGCACTCACCGAAAACCTCCTTTAAATTACTCAATGTTAACAGTGGAATATTAATAATTGAATGTCATCTCTTTCAGATGTCTGCTAGGAAAAACTTAGTTCAAAATAATCTTTCAGATTAGATAAATCATCCTAGAGAATGAATTTGCAAAATTTAAGTAATAAGACTACAAAATAAGCCAGAGTATAAGGTACTACCCAGGGGAGGCATTGTGGGCATGAGAACCTCTAGAGAAAGGGCAGGGAATAATGAAAAAGGTACTGTTTGGGAAAACAGTAATTTAAATATTCCCTGCTTTTTAGTGAAGCCTGGGGATACACTAGACACTCTGGTTTTTTAGTGAGCTAGGGAACCAAACCCAGTCAACCTGACATGCAGATTTAAAAAAAAAAACAACACACACTTTGCTGAATTGACTGATCCCTCATCTTTATTCCCTACTTCTTTCAGCATGGGGTGTGTTATAGATTGACTCATGTCATTCCTCCCCCATTCATCTGTTGAAGCCCTAACACCCACTGTTACTGCATTTGAAGATAGGACCTTTAATGAGGTAATTAAGGTTAACTGAGGTCATAAGGGTGGAACTCTAATCTAATAGAACTGGTGTCCTTGTAAGAGGAAGTGATACCAGGAATGTGCATGCACAAAGAAAATGCCATGTGAAGATACAGCAAGAAGTCTTCGAGTCAAGGAGAGAGGCCTCACCAGAAACTAACCCTGTAAGCACCTTCATCTAGGACTTCCAGCTTCCAGAACTGTGAGAAAATAAATTTACGTTGTTAAGTCACCCAGTCTATAGTATTCTGTAGCTGACTAATACAGGTTCCATACATTTTGTCCCAAAATGGAAATTTAAGGGAACTTAGAACTAGAATCATTAGGTGACAACAGGAGTATAAGATATTATTAATTTGAATGAGTATTTAAATTCCATTCTCCACCACAAAGTCAGTAGCAGCTTTTATGTCTAGTGAAAAACTAAAATGTAATTCCTTCTATGATGAAGCAAGGACTGGAAGAGGATAAAATGATCCACAGTGAGGTGGAGGACAAACAGGAAATCTTTAAAAGGAGAAGATGAAAGTGAGAAAGTTCCCCTCTAACCTAAGAAACCACCTCTTCCCTCTTCTACCCAAAACTTTGCTCCTTACCATTCCTTTGCAGCTTCCCAGATTTCTGCTCCAGCTGGTTCTTCTTGGGATGGAGCTGGACACTGAGTGACTCACATGGCCTTCCCAAGGGGGCCAACTTGCCCAACAATATGTCCTGTCTTTCTGAATTGGCTGGGATCTGGGAACAATGAGGTATGATTGGACTAGTAACGTAGATTTTTATGGGAACTGAAAGAACTTACAGATTAAAAAACCAAAAGAAGTATATGCCAGAGACATAAAAAGGGGACAAATTCTCATTCAATTGTAAACAATAATGATGACCAGGAAAAAGTCAATTCACAATTCAGGATACTAGAGAGTGGAATTCAGTGTTTCTTCTCTCATTGATCTGTGGAAGTCTAGGATCAGTCCTGGGATTTGGAAGGTACCTTCAAAATCATCTAACCCAATTTCCAGTAAATGGAGACATTTATTTCATAATCATGCTAGCAAAATGCAGTTACTTAGTACTTAAAACATGACTAGTACAAATTAAGATAAGCAAAGTGCAAAAACTCACCAAATTTTGAAAACTTAATACAAAAAATTTTAAAATACCTCATTTTAAAACATTAATACATGATTTAATATTTTAGGGTAAATATATTTCACCTGTTATTTTGAAAATAGCTACTAGAAAATTTAAATTACATGTATGACACATTATATTTCTATTGAAAAGTGCTATTCTGCAATATTTTTGACATTTACTTGAATCTACTTGAATGCTTCTATGGAAAGGAAGTTTCTTACAAATTAGCCCATTTTATTTATGGGTGGCAATGAATGTTAGAAAATTATTTGTTTTCCTGATACCTGTTTGCCTTTCTGTAACTTCCCACTGATCCTAGCCTTCCAGATCGGCAAAGAATCAGTCTAGTGTTTCTTCTCTTTTTACCCAGTCACACTTTAGTTATTTGACATAGGTAGTCAGATCTCGCCTTAAGCCTTGTTTTTCTCTAGAGCATACATATGAAGTATTTTTCAGGTGTTCTTTCATATACCATTTACTTTGGCATGGCCCATATACCCTGATCACTCACAGCCAAATTACCACTCCTTCACACCTGCTTTCCAGGTTCATCAAGCTCTTTCTCCAGATCCTCCAGCACAGTCACTGCCTCCTCTCCAGTTTCTGGATGGTGTGCTTGCACCCATGCTTGCAGGTCCCTAGGAAGAATACTCAGGAACTGCTCTAGCACCACCAGGTCTAAAATCTGCTCCTTGGTGTGGTATTCTGGCCTCAGCCACTGACGGCAACGATCCCAGAGCTGGGTAAGAGCTTCACGGGGTCCAGGTGCATCGTGATAGCAGAGCTTCCTGAAGTGCTGCCTATAGAGTTCCCTCCTGGGAGGACTGTACTTTTGTGAGATGGAGTTCTGTCCCCAGAAATGGTCCTCTGCCTTAACTATCAGAAGTTCTTTTTGTTCCTCAGGTTCCATTCTGGGCTTTGTTGGGAGATTTATCCTGTATCTGGGATGGATTCAAGGAGAATCTAAGATCTTGCCTCAGAGACACTCCTAAGGCATAAAAAATTGTACCATAAAGAAATGACAAAAACTGCTGTGAACATAAACACACACTAATGAAGCCAAGCCACCAGTGTTGTGTCAGAGAAACAGTATCATAGGAGGCTGTAAACAAGAACGGTGACACAGGGACATGATTTGAATCTGTGCTCCACTGTTAATTTAGAGAAAGTTCTCTAAACTAGAGCTACACATCCTCATGTAAAATTCTCATATTTCTTATAAGGATGCTGTAAAGACTAAATTAGAATATATGCAACGTCCCTGGCATGGCAGCTGGCACTGGTAAGCACTAAACGATAAGTATTAATAACTTTGTCAAAACTTCTATCATTCCGTATCCTGAGATCAGTGGGTCGGTTTGTGTTCCCAGGATTCAGTGGTGATAGGGTATGTGCGACAACTCTCGAAAGGGTTCAGATGGATGCCTCCACAGCGAACCCCCTAACCAGTATCCCCCTTCCACCCCGGCCCCTCCCAGAAAGTCGGGCCAAGTCCTCTCCAGTAGGTTTGTCGGGGAACGGAGAGGGAGGAGCAGGGAGTTACACTATTCCCGTGACGGGGAGGTGTGGGGAGAGTGTTACTGCTGACCACAGCTGTGCCCTGTCCCCTCCTCTTCTACACCCGGGAGCCAGGAGATACCCACCTTACGCGCAGAGAGGAACAGATGCGACCGCCAGCGTCCTCCGCGCAACCCCAAACAAAGGCAAGACCCAAAGAAGCCAATCGGCGCCGGCCGCGGGCTACCGGGCACTTCCGGGCCGCTCTAGGAAGCTCCGCCTCGATGGCTGCTCCGGGCTTGGCCTCTTCTGCCCCAACCCGTGGAGGACGGTTTCACTGCGTTTTATCGATGGGGTTGTGGGGCCCGCCAGCAAGCCTGCCTTGCGCTTCTTTAAAAACTTTTTTGTTCCTCTCAAGCTTTTTTCCGGTTAATTAGTTTAAAAGTAATTTATTTAATAATTAAGTTATGTAATAATGCATTCACATACATTTTTAAAAAGAATAAATGTCCCCCAGTGTCTAGTTTGTTTTTCATGGCATGTGTAGCCTTACATAGATATATTGCACAGGTATATATTACCCTTGCTTTTTTCCCACTACACAAATTGTAGCATTTAATCACCTTGCTTATTTTTCTTTTTACCAATAGATCTTGGCGGCAACATTAAAGATTACCTTATTCTTGCTCTTTAAAAACAAACAAACAAACTGCATAGTGCTCAATTGTGTATATGTGCTATAATTTATTAATAACTACCCCTTTGACGGTCATGAGGCTGTTTCCAACTTTCTTTTTCAAATGCTGCTCCAATAAATTACTGTGGGCACGCGTAATTTCTCATGTGTAAGGATATGTCCATAGTTTATATTCTTAAAAAGAGAATTACCAAGAATATAGAATAGGGATATTTGTACATTTGCTAATGCCAAATCACTAATTATAGAACCCACTAGCAATGTTCTTGTTTACCTAACTTGTCGACAGTGTCATAAAATATTTTGATCTTTGTCAATCTGGATGAAAAATGCTGTCTCAGTTTTTTCTCCCTCTTTGCCTTCCTTCCACAAATATTGATTATTCACCTACTATGCCAGGAACTATGTTTTGAGCAAAATAATCATGGAATTTACAATCTTCTGTGGGGATTTGGGGGAGGTTTAGGAGGAGGGGAAGCAGGCAATAAACCAGAAAAATATAAGGTATATTAGATGATAGACATTAGTGCTAAGGAGAAAATAAAGGAAATAGGGAGTTTGTGATGAGAATGAAGTGATGTTTAAATAGAATGTTCATGGAGGCCCTTACTAGTAAATTGACATTTGAGCAAAGATTGAGGGAGCTGAGGGAATGGTAAAGATTTTAAAAATTAAAGATTAAAAAAAATTTTTTTTAATTGGCCAGGCATGGTGGCATGTGACTGTAATCCAAACTACTTGGGACACTGAAGTGGGAGGATTGCCTGAGCCCGGGAGTTCAAGGCTTCAGCGAACCACTGTACTCCAGCCTGCAATCCAGCCTGAGCAACAGAGTGAGACTCTTTCTCTAAAAACAAACAAACAAACAAACAAACAAACAAAGCAACAACAACAAAAAGAAGAAATTAAATTGAAAAAGTTATCAGAATTATCTCTAGAAAGATTCAGATAATTCTGTAGCATTTTAATTTTGTAGAAATATTTACATGTGTATGATAAATTCTAACTTTTCCATTTGGAATATAGAAAAATAGGAAGAAAAAGAGATTTATTAGTCTATTTTCATCACATAAATGCAGTCACTATTGACATTTTGCTGTCATTTCCTTTCAATTTTTAATATTTTGGGTCTGTTTTTCATAGTTGTGATTATATTCTGGAAACACTTTAATATGCTGTTTAAAATTTTAGTGTCATAAAAACTTGTCGTTTTATTATAAATTTTTCAAAAGAATAATTTATATCTACATATTGTTTGGGGAAATATATAGTACCTGTATTACAGAGGAATTGGAAAGTTTACATGAGATAGGTAAGGTACTCAGGTACAATGTCTGAACCACAGTTTAGGTGCTCAACAAATGGCAGCTACTATTATTATAGCTTGCAAAGGGATTGTCCTTTTGCATGCATCATTTATTTAGCTTGTAATTGGTATTATTATCACACAAAATACTGTTTCCTCTTTCGGGGGAATAGACAAGCTTCTTCCTACAAAGGAGTATGTTGGATGTCTCTTAGAGAGAAACCAAGAATATATTTTTGCTGCTCAGGAGAATTCTTCTGCTTGGTTTGTGTTGCTGAGAAGGAGGAGTCCAGGGTAAGCAGAATTTAAGAAATTGTGACTTAGAGTGCTAGAGGAAGAGAGATGCCCTGTGTCACAACACTCAGAGACCCACACAGGGCCAGGATCCTGAGTGGCCCCCAAGGAATTGTAGTGAACTTAGATTTGGGTTAGGATCTTTCACATTAGACATTTGGCCTTCATGACCTAGAAATAAGTGTTTGATTATTACTTTAAAGTCACGAAGAGTCAATGATAAAAATAAAGTGTCCTAACCTCCACAATCCTTCTACTTCCACCGTATGTTTCTCTAAAGTTGCTGTTTTTTCCCCTACTATGCTTTCACTAACTTTGCTTCCATTTCCTCTTTGCAGTGTTTTTGTGGTGCCCTTGTTCTCTCCTCTGCCTTTTTTAAAACCACCTTTTCCCTTTCCCCCTAATTGATCTTTATTTTCTTTTTCTCCCAAAGTTTATTCCCATCCTACTTTTATTCTTAGCTGGTTTTTCTTTCTACCTCTCCCCACTCTCCCATTCTGGGTTCATCCCTACTACTTTGCCACAGCTTACCTACAGATTCTGTCTAAAGAAAAATTTAAAGTGGCTTTCCTCTACCTTCAGGTGATCAAAGAACACACTTTAAAATTTATTTTTATTTATTTATTTATTTATTATTTTTTTTTGAGTTGGAGTCTCACTCTGTCGCCCAGACTGGAGTGCAGTGGCTGCTCCTAGCCACCACAGCCTCGACCTGCTGGGCTCCAGTGATCCTTCTGCTTCAGCCTTCCAAATAGCTGGAACTACAGGCGTGTGCTACCACACCCGGCTAATTTTTTGATTTATTGTAGAGATGAGGTCTCGCCAAGTTACCCAGGCGGGTCTCGAACCAGTGGGCTCAGGCAATCCACTCACCTCAACCTCCCAAAGCGCGGGATTACAGGCTGAGCCACCGAGCCCGGCTGAAAACTTATTTTTTAATACAAATCTTCAAACTTGTTAGCAGAAACCTTTTCTTAATGGAAAATTTTAATCGGGAGGTCAATATATAAAACTAATGAAAGTGAAGCTGTTTGGGTGGTGAAACACCCAGAGCTCCTGAAGAAACCCCTAGGGCCCACAGGTTAAATGGATGAATGAAAGGGGGTGGTGTAAGACAATAGGAAGCTGTGTGGCGGTGGGCACCATGTCCAACTAGAGAGTAGTGGTAATCAGTTCCAGTCAACTACTGCCTTGTAGAAATGTGGTGCCTAGTGTGGCCACATCATGCATTTTTGTAAACGAATCTAGAAGGTCAGATTTTATGTGAAATCTCCAGATTCTTAAATAGTGGCAGTAGTTTAAAATATTAAAAAAAAAAAAATACTAGGCCAGATATGGTGGCTTACATCAGCTTTGGGAGGCTGAAGCAGGAGGACTGCTTGAGCCCATGAATTCGAGACCAGCCTAGGTAACATAGCAAGACCTCATCTTTACAAATAAAAAAATTAGCCTGGCATGGTGGCACATGCCTCCTGAGCCAGCTACTCAGGAGGCTGAGGCAGGAAGATTGCTTGAACCCAGAAATTCAAGGCTGCGGTGAACTGTGATTGTGACTCTGCACTCCAGCCTGAGTGACAGAATGAGACCTCGACTCAAAAAAAAAAAAAAAGATTTAAAAAATACTACAAGGAGGACCCCCAAACCAGGATTATCTTTTGGAGGGCGGGCCCCTTGTAGTATAGGTTTCCTACTAGGTAGGTGTCTTAAGAACCCATTGGCATCATAGCATTGTTGTGAGAGGCTGCATTTGGATTCAGTGAATTTTTTTTTGAGATTCTTTCAACATGTTTGCCCATTTCATGATGGGTGATTTACAGGTACACCTGCCTAGACCTCACTGAGTGTTCAGCAGTTTTTCACGGGAAATGGCACAACCCTCATACCCTGCCCTCTTTATTCACCCAATCTCACCCAAGTTACTTTTTATTTTGTTTCTCTGATGAAAAAAGTTCTCAAAGGGAAATGTTTTGCTGATTTGAAATAGATAAACAAAATGGCAAAAGCACTAAAAGGAGTCAAAATAGACTAGTTCAAAAACTGTTTTGGGCAGTGGAAAAAGTGTCTAGATAGTTATATTGCATCAAATGGAGAGCACTTTGAAGGTGACTGAATTTTAGGCATGTAAGAATAAGTACACATTTTTTAAATAAATAAATTCTGGTTCTTTGGTGCCCCTCCTCATATGGGAGAAAAATGTATAGGCCAAATACAGCCCATTTGGTCTGTTTGCTATCTCTGATTTAAAATGTGAAAGGTCACTGGGAATTTGCATGATAAATCTTGCTCTACCTTCACTGAACCATCCTACCTGCATAAATCATAATTAATTCCAATATTAAAATATCTTCTGTATTTCACAGTGTTTTTAGGGTAAATAATTGAAAGGCTATGGCTATTGTGCTTTATCAAATTTACCAAAAATTCAGGGATTTTTCATGTAGACTAGATGTTATTCTAATTTCACACTCCAGGCAATATTATTACTTCAACTCCAAAGAAATCAAATAGAAGAATAGAAAAAGGAAAGGGGGAAAACAGTAGTAAATGAGAAAACCTATAGTACATATCTAATAGAACGTTTGGATTTTCTAAGATGTGTGCTTCAGAGAAGAAAAGTTTGAGCATATGAAATAATCCCCTTGAAAGTCCCAGTTCATAAGATGATGTGCCTAGTGGCAGGGAATCAGAAAGCCTTGTTTAGCAAGCTTTCAGGTGCTTGCCTATCTCAGCCTCCATATATATTTTTCTTCAAATTTTTTATTTGAAATACATGGGGTACAATTCAGGGTTAGGTATACAAATGTTCATCATGCAGGTACCCTTGTCGATGAGGTGTGCCCCACCCTCCCCTGGCAGTTTCTCACTACTGCCAATTCCACCCCTGCCATCCCCTGGCAGTTTCCCACTACTGCCAATCCCTTTCTTATAGTATTATGATAGTTTCAAATTGTTGTTGAAATTGCAATAGTGA